TTCCCGCTCACGTTTCAGGGATGAGGCGGCATGGGATGAGGCAGTGTGCCATCCCGCCGGCCCCCACGGCCTGGGAGAGGGCATGCCCTGAGCCCCGGCAGCTCGGCACGTGCCTGGGGCGGCCCTGAGGAGCGGGCAGACGAGTCTGGTATCTGAGCTTCCTCCAACGCAGGCTAACTAGGAGATGATTAAATTGAAAAAGATGGTGTTTGCCAGGCTGCCATTCAGACGAATGCAGAGATAGAGCCATCTGTTCTCTGTGCCTGATTTCGTCTGCACTGGGCACACCTTCCTCCCCCGGCCTTGCGAAACGGCGGGGATGGCAAGGTTCCACTGGGCCAAGTTTTGCCTCTATCCCACTCCTCCCCCCGTGCCCGAGCGCCTGGGGTCTGGGACAGAAAGGAATTAAGGGGCAACGTTTGCTGTCAGTCCTGTGTGAGATGATCGCCGGCAGGATCTTGTCCAGGTGGAACGCGGAAGTCTTCCTCGCTACTCCTTGTGGAGGCACCACACCAACGTCTGGCCCACGCCTGTCATGCTCACCACCCGGTAACCACAGCTCTCCAGCTTGTTCAAGACTATCCGCGGGGCATCGTTCACGTAGTACTCCCAGCTGCGAGGAAAGAGAAGAAATAAAATGAGGTGGAGAAGGAAAAGACAAGAATTTCCTCGTGGAAGTGACTCTGCCTCACTACCAACCCCATACAAGAGGCTGCGATGACCGCATCTGGCACGCCGTGTGATGCAATGTCGCGGTTAACCAGATGGGGAAGGCCGAAACCCACAGCCACCGAACCCAGGAGGAAGCCTGTCCAAACCGGGAGGGTCACGTTACAGCAAAACAGGGTGTGGGGACCAAAGCCGCCTGCTGCTGGGTTAACTGGGCCGGAGCTGCGGCAGAGAGGGTTCACAGGTATTCACAGCGGGGAATTCGTGGAGAAAGAGGATAATCTCTGCAGAGCAGGGAAGGATGATTCAGGTGCTTCTGAGGAAGGAACACCCAGTGTTTTGCCTATCTCGGAGCACGTCTGGGCGTTTTTGAGAGCCTGTGCTTGAAATTTGGGGGCTGGAAAAAAATGCTGCCTTCAGCCAAGCATGGAGCCTTTGAAAAACCAGAAGTTGGCAGTCCTCAGCAGAGCTGCCGAGCCGTTCAGAGCAGTGGCGCGCTGTGGGTGGCTAGGAGCTGCCGCTGGGCATCGGCCTCCAGCTTCTGTTCCTCTCCGGTTCCACTTGGAGCAGCAGCCGTCCTTCGTCCTTCCCCCCGCCTGATCCCCAAGGCTGCCGCTCCGCAGAAGGCTTCGGGGCTGCGGGACTGCTCCCGCCGTAAAGAAGAGACGGGGGTGGCAGAGCAGCACGATACGGACACAAAATTAGGTGGGGAAGTAGCAGAGCTGCAATGGCAAGTATCGCCTTCAGTGCTGGGACTGGGCAGCCTTCCTGCTCCTTTAACACGTTCCTCTTGGATGCGGTATTTATTCAGGCAGATGGGATAAGCTTCCCAATAGTGTAGCTCTTGGATGACTCACTGTGCCAGATAAGCTGATAATGACGGCCTACAGGATCGCTGGTGATCTTGTTCGGGCACCTTAACAGAGACTCTCCTGATTTTCATGCTAATACCAATAAAAAAGGACCCAAAAGCATTTCCAAAGTTGCTCTTGCTAAGATGGCAAAGCGTTAGTGGAGTGGTGAGTGCTTTTAAAGCATGAAATAACACCAAGATGTGAAAGCTTTTTTCTTGGTTTCTCAAGACAGACTATACTTTGCTGTAATTATAGATGTGGTGTAACGATAATATGTATTATTATAAGCGTCTTTGAACTTAATGCTTTCTCCAAGAGGCTTGCCACATACCCTTCAGATTCACATGCTGGAGTTGGTAAATATTATTCCCATTATGCAGAGGAAGGAGCTGGGGCAGGGATTGTTTGTTGTTTGTAGGAACCTAAAAAACTGGGCGGCTGAGCTAAAAGCAGAGGGAAAGCGGAGTTGCCCAGGGCTTTAAACACAGCTCCGTAGTTAGTGAAACAAAAGATTGCACACACCGTGCGTATCAGATATGCCGCCGTCTCTGTGTGCGACCCGTCTGAATCGGGACGGAGTGGCTGGGAACGTTTGCAAAGCCTTTCCTCCCAGCTAAATGCCAGCAGGGAACAGAAAAGTCACCCGGGACGGGAGAGGACTTGGGCGCTTGCGCGTGGTGGTGTGCGGGACGCCGGCCGCCCTGCCTCCCAGATGTGCCCAACGCGGGGGGCCCAGGCGAGCGGGGACGGGCTGGAGCCGGGGCAGGAGGGCACCGCGCCCTGCTGCTGCTGCTGGCCACGGAGCGGGCAGCCTCCTAGGGATGCCGGCCCAGCTTCCCCCGGGATGGGTTCGGCTGTGCCCTGGGGAATGGCTGAATTAAAGTATCAGCAGGTGCCTCAGACCGCAACTCCTGACGTTTGACAGAGGCATCAGTTTTCACCTAAGACCAAACAGTGCCCATGGCCTTTATAATTACAGGCGGTGCCAGGGCCGGTGCCCGGTGCTCACCCACGCGTGCGCGTCCGCCGGGGCGCACCAGAAGATTCCCCTGTTTGCGGCAGCCCAGGGTCAGGCTTTTGATCCCCGGCCCGGTGCTGGCTACCAGAGAGGCGCGGGCTGGGGCAGAGCCCGGCTCCCCCTTGCACAGCAGCTGCAGGGCTGCGTGCCGGGCCCCCTGCTCTCCCTTATCGGAGGCAATAAGCGCTTCATCTGTACCTCACCGCGTCCCAGCAGCTCCATGCTGCTTACGCCTTTTCTTTCAGGCTCCCTCCAAGGTCATGTTTAAGGTTTTAGGGCAAGATTTGCAGCTTGCTGCTAGCGAAGCCTTGCAGTTGGGGGGATGGAAAATCCTGCTCAGCCGCGGCGCAAATACAGGAGCCCTCATCCCTGGTGGGGATTTTTGGCAGCGAGGCATGCCGCCGTGCCCCTCGGGCGTCAGCACCCGCGTTCCAGCCAGGTGACTTTCTCCACCCGCCATTGCTCAAGCGCAGACGGGGACGACGTGCCGTGGGGACGCAGCGCCGCGGGGACGCAGCGGAGGTACCCTGGGCGTAACACAGGCCGTACCAAGAAGCAGGGGGGCAAGAGGGAGCTCAAAATGCTCCAGGCCGCAGGGAGGGATGAAAGGTGGTGAATCCACCAGGGAGATCCCATAGGAAGCTCAGATCCCTTCTCCCAAACAAGCAAAATGCGGCACTCCGGTTCCTTGTAACGCTGTATCTCCTCCCTGGCTCTGGGGCCGGCACCACGGCGGCGTTTTATCTTTCTTTGCCTCTCTTTTTCCACCCGAATCCTAGGGATCCTTGCCCCTAGCTCTTGGGAGCCAGCAGCACCTCTTCCTTCTTGAAGCCTCTTCTTTTTCTCCCGCTGGGTCTCCCTTCGCTGTGCGCAGAGCTCCCTGCCCGCTCCCGGGCTGGGCCTGGCAGACGAAGCCGATGCTGCTG